AATTCCCCAGCCAGCATGGCTGGGCGTGGAATTCTGGGAGTTGAAGTCCACTCATCTTAAAGTGGCCAAGTTTGGACAACACTGCTTTCAATGTAGGTGTGTACGTGCTATGGTTTAGTAGTTCAGAAGCTTCCTTTTTCTGGGTCAGACTGTTGCCTCTGAACCAGTAACATTTGCTCTGACCAGCAGAGATCCTATGCAACTTGGAAAGGGAAGAGACAGAACAACCATCAAGATTCCTTTGACATAAAGGATGGTGTCCCTGCTGGCTGTATATGTGCTTTCTGAAGTCCTTGGGGTTCTCTGAACTTGGTTGTTTTCTTGCAGATGTTTTGTTACCTAGTTGGGGAATGAAACATCTGCAAGAAAACAACTAAGCTCAGAGAACCCCAAGGATTCCACAATGCAACCCTGAGCTACAGAGATTCTCTTCTATTTGTACATGTGCTTTTCATTTACCTGTTTTTGCAGCTCCAAAGCATTCCTGCATAATACTGCTGATATTTGGAGGCAAAACCACTGGGTTTTGGGAACCTACTTTTTGCTGTTTCTTGCCCCTCCCAAAGGTATAAAAATAGATGTGTTAAGCACCTGTCAGGTTTTTTACACTGATTTTTCATTTTCAACCCTTTCCCAACTTCTCTCTTCCCCCCAAAACATAGAGGCAAGTCTTTTTTTGTTTGTGATCTCATTCTATTGAGGTCACATTTTTTGGCCTTTAAAAGCTAGACAAAGACAGAAACAAAGAAAGGAAGTCCACCTAGTTCTAGGTAGCCATCTCAGGTGTGACCTGGAGAACTTCTTCTGCGTTATCCCACCTGCTACGCTAGGCCAACCAGAGCATCATGTTAATTAGTGTATTATGCAAACACAGCAATGGTGTGATGTTAACTATGATGATGGCCTTTGTGTGTCAAACAGTTGTTGAACTGTGGTCCATTCTTGAAACACTGCAGTTGACTTGAAGGATCTTTTAGCTGCATGTTCTCCAGATGCAATAATTTAAATGTTGTCCATATGCTGAAGTAGAGAAACATCATTCTGACTACCATGCATTATAAATATGTATGTATTAACCCTAGGTGCTGCAGTGTATTTAATTTCTCCCACCTACTTCCAAGTGTTAAGGAAAGTATGTGACAAGAGGAATGTCACCCTCCTAGAAGATAGAGAAATGACCTTTGTGCTATCCTGTTTGTTGTGGTATTTTGCTTTGCCAATTGTATTGGTAGTGTGTGACTATTTTTGTGACTTAAGAGAAGATAAGTGGAATATTTGTGGCTGATTACTAGAAGTGTAGGAATTCGTTGTGTCAAAATTCTGGCTTCCTTAACTGGATTTGCACCTCCCAGATTTCAGCTGTGTATTGCTGTTTGGAGCTTGCATTGAAGGGGTTGTTCTTAGAGACAAGTAAGTAACTCTTCCAGATTTTCCTTTCATGGGAAGGGAGTCGCATCTTATTCTTCGATTGCTGTTGCTGCTTCCTTTCGCAGTTTAGCTGTCTGATTTTATTTTTTTCTCTCTGGCCCACTACATAAATGTATTTTTTCCTATTGAATGCTTATTATGACCAGCTCTTAACACATGGAACTATTACATGCACAATGTGATTTTGTGCAAACTTTAAAAAGTCCAAAACCCTTAGTAATGGCTACAGCTTAAGCTCTAAAACCTCACTTTCCTTTTTTTAAAAAGCAATTTTCTAGTGCTCCCTTATGTATTTATTCAGCCTTTTTAAATTAATTATGCTCTTCCTCAGAAGAAGTGTGGTGCTCACTCTACGGCAGGTGAGGCCAAGAGATACTGACTGGCCCAAAGTCACTCAAGATTCTTCAAGGATGAGGGGGGATTTGAACTTTGTTCTTCCTGACCTTAATCTGAAACTGAACCCACAACACCCTACTGTCTCCCATGGCTGGGTTGGTAGCTCATAGCAGGATAATCCATGCAAATAATTCATCCTTGTTTTGCATGCATTATTTATATCTTGCATCTGGCACTATCCAGATATCTTTCACCTGGAACTCCCAGAATTGCTTAGCCAGCATGGACGTGCACAATTACCATGCTCCTTCCAACACCTTTCTATGATTGCATGAGAAGCATTTGTATGTGCTTGAATATGCTGGTCTTTGACTGTAATAAAGATTTGATTGATATGCTTGAAAGTCTCTGAGCCATTTCACAGGGGCAGCGCTTGTATTCGTTAACCAAAGCTTTACAAAATAGTCGTAGACGTTTACGTTTCCAAAAAATTGTTGTCGGATAATATGCTTAGAAGCCAGGAAACAGATGGGAGAAAGGAAAAAAAAAACTGGCTGAGTCACATTGGGTATTATCTTACGTTCTTAGATGGAGAGAATGGGAACTCTTAGACATTACAGTGGCTATCAAATTGCCTGTAAAGACTCTAGATGCTGTCCCCTGTGAAATCTAAGAATAAAATGGTATTTATGTGGTTCTTTTTTTGGAACTTAAAGGAGAAGACTTTCTTGGAACTTAAAAAGTTGAGGCTATTTTGTAACAAATGAGTTGACCTAAAAAAAAGGATTACCTCTTCTGAATTTATTTGCTTGTGTCTTGCACTTATATTCTGCCTTTTCTCTAAGAGTTTAATACAGTATACAGCATTAGCCCTATGTGGTAGGCTGGACTGAGAGAGAGTAACTGCCCCAAGGTGAACCCTGGGGTCAAGTGGTGACTTTAACTATAATCTCTCCAATCCAAGTCCAGCACCTTAACTACTAGACCATGCTAACTTTTATACTATTTGGGTACTATTCCTTTGTATCAGGGATTTTCAAACTGATGGGGTTGATGGAGTTCTATGAGAGAATAAGGTGGTGGTGGCGACGAAGGAGAATGAGGAGGAGGAGAAGGAAAAGGAGATGGAGAAGAAGAGTTGTCCAAGTTGTTCACTTGAATGTAGCCAGTTTGATTCAGGGTTTTTGGGATTATTTTTTTTACTAACAGGTTTCATGGTCTGAAAAAGTTTGAAAACCCCTGCTTTATATGAGGAGTAAGTTAACCTGACCTTGGAAAGATAACTTAAAATCAAATGGAAATACCAAACAAAAGTCATGTCTCTTTTTAAATGGCAAATTCTGTCCTCCTCATAGGTATGGTGATGGCGTGAACAAGAACTTAGTGGTGGGCACGCTTGCCTGGCCCTCGCCATGGGTCATAGTGATTGGGTCCTTTTTCTCTACATGTGGGGCAGGTTTGCAGAGCCTCACTGGAGCTCCACGACTCCTTCAAGCAATTGCCAAAGACAACATTATTCCATTCCTCAGGGTTAGTACAGTTTTTTAAGAGCTAAAGCTGGGATAATTTGATGGGTAGAACTTGGGGATGCGGAAACTCCCTGGAAAAAAAGAGATTCCTCAGTGCATGTTTCATCTTGAGAATTTGTGCTTCCATTACTTTTGAAAAAGCAAGCATGTAATTGCCATGAAAATGGCCCAAATACTTAACAGATGGCAAACAGGGAAGCCTGTTCACAGGAATGGTGCAAGGATCGCCATTGTTTTGAACCCAAATTAATTTGCAACTAGACATCAAATACCAGATTTTACAATATAATATATTTCTGTATTATTAATTTATTGCACTATAGACTCCGCATCAAATTTTAGACTTCAATAATAATGTGATCCCCCCCCTTTCTTAGCTAATTTTAACTTTTAGCTTTCAATCTTAGTCTTCCTAGAGCAGAATGCTGCTCTTTATACTTAAGTACGTTATTCTACTGTGGCTAGATCTTTTTATACTTTCTTTCACACTGGCCATTGACCAAAGTAAAGTTCTCTATCTGTATCTCAAACATTTTGAAGTGATAACTTCTCCATTTTTATGCCAGTGTATTCTCAAGGGCTCTTTTGCTCCATTTTAACATCATTAATGGCTCAGTTTGCAAAGAATCTACAGCTATAAATGGATTCCACTAATGTCCACGAGAAAGACAGTTTGGTGTAAGACACCAGGCTGGAGACCAGGAGATCAGGAGTTCTAGTCCTGCCTTGGGCACAAAGCCAGCTGGGTGACCTTGGGCCAGTCAGTCTCTCAGCCCTAGGAAGAAGAAGGCAAGGGCAAACCACTTCCGAAAACCTCACTAAGAAAACTGCAAGGACTTGTCCAGGCAGTCACCAGGAGTCAAAAACTGACTTTGAAGGCACAGCAACAACAACATCCATAAAACTGTTATGGGTTCTATACAGTTTGTGATCTTCTGGTTTATAATAGTTTTAGTTCTGAACTTATTTTCCAGTGCTCGCCTTGACTCCCAGATATGCTTAAGCTGGCTGGGAATGAAGAATATTAGAGTCTAGTGCAATGGGAAGGCACTATGTGTATGAAGGCAGAGATTGATCTCTTGCAGTCAGAAGCTCCTTCCCTGTAATTTGGATCTATTTTATACCAAAACATAAGCAACATATGCTGGATTCCAGTGGCTTTGCTAGAATGAGTTCTCATGGAGGCTGAGCTAAAAGACTGTGAGAGAATAACTTCTGAAACTGAACCCAGGGGAAGTTTTTATACCCCTGAGTATGAAACTCATTCTCATATGCCTATAATACCAAATGAAGAATAAAGAACACAGATGTTACTCTCAGAAGTGGGGAGGAAACAACTATTTTGCCCAAGCAGGAGATTAACTTTACTGTTTCCTTATTTATTTAAAATATCTGCATCTTGCCATTCTGTGTGGCCACAGGCCCTTGAGGCAGCTGATAATAAGTAAGAACAAATGCATAATTACATATCATAGCTCATAATGTTCTTTTTAAAAGCATGTTTGATCTAGGGAAGCTCAACAAGGGTTGGACCAAGAGGGTGGGGTGGAAAATGGCTTCTCCAAACTTCACATCAGCCTTCCTGGACTTTGTATCCTTCTGATGCATTTGACTATGTCCCCTGTTACCCCAAACCAAGATAGGGATTCGTTTGGGTGTCCGCAGGGTGTCATCCCCCAGAGATCGGATTGGATGGACCCTGCTGGCCTTTCGCAAACACAGTTTGGTCATCGGACTTGGGGATCCGGGTGTGTGGCAGAGCGTGTGCAATGGTTATGTTGATTTGTTGGTGGTGGTCCTGTTTTTTTGTTTTTTGTTTACCTTGACTACTGATTGTCCATGTTGTTTTTATAGGTACGTGTTTTATGATGTTTTTAACTGTTCTTAGCTGCCCAGAGTCATGAATATCAGATGGGTGGCCATGTTAATTGAAATAATAAATAAATATTGGGTGGAGCTTTGATTGTACCATTGTGGCCACTGTCAACTTTTTTTTTACTCTACCCTGAGATATCCCTGGCTTGAGACCCACAGACTAAGCAGGCACCAGGTTGGAAAAAGCTGGTTAAGATGCTCTGGGCAATGGGGGTGTTTTAGCTGCTGCCCTGCACTCTTCCCACCATAAAGGAGAAACTAGTCTCAGTTGAGGCTTCCTAGCAGTTCTAGGTACTGAACAATTCCTGGTTCTTCCTGCTAGGAGGATAGGAACTGATGAAGATGAAAGGAAGGGACAGGTGTGGACATACTGAAAGTCCAGGCCTTAATTTCCACCATTGCACGTCATCTTTCCACAGTCTGACACTCCATCATTCTATTCATTGAATATACCTGATTGGGAAAGGCTGGTCTGCACTGTCAAGTCATCCCAAGAGGAAGCATTGGCAGGGGAGGAAGACATGGGAGGATGAGTGGTAACAATGGGAGGACTTAATGATACCTGTAAATGGGCACTGAAAAATGAAGATTAGAACATATTACTTACATCCATGGACTTAACTGAGAAAAGGTGAGCTAAGATTTTTGGATCTTGGCTAAGTATCCATGACTGTTGTTGGTGCTCTAATGGATGTTGCTTGGGGAGAGAGCAGAGAGTGTTTGTCAGAATGGCCCTTTAAGTGCACAGATCCCCCTGCCCTTGCTCGCTGTCTCTCTTACACATTCACAAATACATACAGTATACCCAGAGTTTACTTTACATAAAGAAATGCCCTAATGGGATTAGCTTCTTTTCCCCAAATATACCTTTTTGATTCTTTAAATGGTGCTCAGTGACTCATCATGAAAGGATGCATATTCAAACTATTTTTGTTCTTCAATCTCTCTTCCCCCCCCTTCTCTCCCCCACCTTTTGCAGGTGTTTGGCCATGGAAAGGCAAATGGAGAGCCAACATGGGCTCTTCTGCTCACAGCCCTGATTGCCGAGTTGGGCATTCTAATAGCCTCCCTTGATATGGTGGCCCCAATTCTTTCTATGTAAGTTTGCAAGATATTGTTATTAGATGTAAGGGGGATTTTGGCCTTCTGGCAAAGCACACCATGGTTGGTCCAGATTTGCACCTCCACAGCAGCCTTCCCACTTGAGTTGAGCTGGAATTTTTGAAAGTTTGTCCTGAATGATTGGGGATTCCCTGATGAAAAAGACTGAAGCAGCCTCTCTTCTCCTTCACTCTTGGAGAAGCTCAGGATGTTTTTATGTGATGATTGAGCATAGTTTTTGGAGTATGATAGGGAATTAAAGATGAGAATATGCTACCAAGAGAGCATTGGTGAGATTTCAAATCCCCCTCTCCAAAAAGACCCCTAGAAGATTGCTCATTCTTTCAGCAACTTCTTTACCATTTCTCCTCATATTGAATAGAAATTTTAGGGCTTGAACTGATATATCTGGAGGAATCTAGGTTGAAGGAAGCTGACGTAAACACTAAGAAACCTTTTAGTGTCAGGAGCCAAAAAATGAAAACTGAAATTTAGAAATGACTGAGAACTTCAGTGAAGGCCAACATTTCATTAGATTTCAGCCTTCTCACTCAAAATCTCTTGACAGCTTATGCCAGAGCTCTGATGTTTCATGAGATGTGGCAGTCTTGTGAGGTTTCAGACGCTATTAGTATATTTTGCTCTATTAAAGACCACCATTATTTAATATCCGTGGCACATAGACTGTTCCGGAAGACTCACTAGGTTCTAATGGCTGTCAAATGCAAAGAAACTATCAGTTATACTGAAGAAACTACCAGGGGCATTCTTGATAAGTTGCTGAGTGTTTCCTGGGATACACTTTAAAAGTACCACAAAGTGTTGCAGTCAAAACAAGAAGTTGATTGTGTGTTTTTATTCTTTTAGGGGCCTATTGCAGAATGTGAGTTTTGACTGCCACCTGGTGTTGATTCTGATAAACTGTTAAACAAAAGAAATCTGCCTGTATACGTGCAGTGACTACTCATTCTCTACTATTGTGACAATCTTTCAACCAAATCTAATCTTTGGTAACTAAGACTTAGACGGAAGACTTTTTCATTCTTCTGTTATTTTTTTTCCCCCTTTCCTGCATTTTCACTGCAGATCAGGCGCATCAGCAGAGTATGCTTAAAAAGATCAAGATGGGGACCACAATGATGCGATTGAAGCAACGCTTGGTTTTTATGTGCATCACACATGGAAAACCAGTGGAGCTTTTATCACACCGTTATGGCCATCCTGACATTTTTGACCACACCGTGCAGATACCCCTGCTACAAATAGTACGCAAGATGAGTTGTAACAATAAAATGCCACAGGAAGCAGAAATACGTTGAACTGAAATTCAGAATGAAGAAATGGGCAACTGCCAACTTTCATACAATGTTCCTCTCTCTCTTTTCTCTTTCTTCCCCTTTTGCCACCCAAAATTAGGTTTTTCCTGATGTGTTACCTGTTTGTCAACCTGGCTTGTGCAGTGCAGACACTCTTAAGGACTCCAAACTGGCGCCCCAGATTTAAGTATTACCACTGGTAAGAATTTTTAGAATAAATGTGCTAGGAGGACAGGGTTTCTAAAATTGTCTTCATGATCATGAGATGTTAAGCGTCAAAAGCTAAAAACACTAGAATTTGGGAACTCTGTGAAGCCAGAAGTGCTTGGAAAATGTCTTTTAGCCTACTATGCCTTCCTGTCCTGGTTCATACATTATTGTACCATGTTGATAACATCTGTAACCTGAATGTGTGAATAAACAATTGCAGAGACCACGACAATGGGCAAAATTCTTGTATTGCCACCAACACAGTCTTGTTCTGTGGAATCTTTTCATCCTTCTAGCTGCCATTCTTCAAGAAATACTTGTGTATGTATGAAACCAGCCCTAATAACCTATTGACATTTTGAGTTTTAATTTCTTCAGGGCCCTGTCCTTCTTAGGAATGAGTATCTGCCTTGCCCTGATGTTCATCTCCTCCTGGTATTACGCTTTAGTGGCAATGCTCATCGCCGGCATGATATATAAGTACATTGAATATCAGGGGTAAGTAAATTCATAATGAAAGTAACCTGATACAAGATAGCTGGAGGGATGGAATCGCAAAACTGGGCCTTTAATCCTCCATCCTGGTTCCATCTAGATGTTTTGGGACTCCAGCTTCCAGAATACCTTGCCAGCAAAAGGTAATTCTGGCAGAGCATTCTAAGAGTTATATCTAAATAGCAACACACCGGGAAGAAGACACTTGTTTTAATTGATGCTTCCCTGGAAATACTGGAATTAGATCTTCCAAAGAAAGTTTGGACAATAGCTATAATAACCATTTCCCAGTGTTTGAGAAGGTGCACCTTCCATAGTCACACACTGCTATCCACATTAGCTATGACTTAGGAGAGCCTGTAGTCTATACAATCTAGAAGACAGCTTCTCTTGAACTAGAGGTAGGACTGTGACCCAAACCAAAGCAGTTGATGTTATGAGATTTCATTTAAATGTTAGAAAGAACTTCCTGGTGGGAGGAGCTGTTTGACAAGAAGTAGTGAATTCTTCCCTATATCCCAGGGATGCTAGAGAAGTAGAGTTTCTGCACCAGAAGAATGTTGATGTTGAACTACAGGTAGTCCTCATTTAGTGACTCCCTCGTTTAGCAACCATTTGATGATGGTGATGAAAAAGTAACTTTACGACTAATCCTTGCATTTATGACCTTTGCAGGTATGAAAAGCAAAGGAAAGCTGAGTCACGGTTTCACTTCGCAACCGCTTCACTTAATGACCAAGTTGCCGGTCCCAATTATGGTTGCTAAACAAGGACTACCTGTAGATGATCTATGTGTTCCTTTCCTATTCTGAGATTCTAAACCTAATTTTCTCCTTTAATGGCAGAGAGGTTTACTTTAGATGCAATCAGCTAGTGAATAGTCTGTCACAGAGTTGTTAGTACTTAACAGTATGTGGGTTGGGATGAAATCAGTGCTTGGAAATTGCATTTAACTATAGAGGAGCTTCTGAAGTGTGAGAAGATAGAGGCATTGGCAATTCAGTGAAGTATCACAAATTAGCCATTACTGCCAGTTTATATTATGAAGCATCAAATTGACCCAAGTGTTGGGTCTCTGGAAAAGAATAGGGTTCTGAATTGACTCCATTCTGACATTCTCTTTTCTAGGGCAGAGAAGGAATGGGGTGATGGGATCCGGGGGCTGTCTCTAAGTGCTGCACGATATGCTTTGCTGAGATTGGAAGAAGGGCCTCCCCATACCAAGAACTGGAGGTGGGTTCTTTCACTTTTCACTTTACCCATTGGTTTTTTTCCCCAATGTGCATACATGGGGAAGTCAGTGCATTCCTGACTTTGCAAGCACTTCTCTGTGATTTAAAATGAGGTATTCAAACTCTTTTTGGGGGCAGGTTTTTCTGCAGTTGCTAAACTTTGAGGCACCCTGAAGTCCTAAGAATATACATATGAAAAGGAGATTCCCAGGATTACAGAATATATTTGCAGCACAAATATGATGCATCTCAGAGTACTTAAAAATAAAACTCGTGCCTTCTTTGCATCGGATTTAGCTGTGACCAAACATTCTGCGTGAAGCAAATTGCAATGAGCCAAACCCCTGGGGCAAAACATTCAAGTGACTAAAAAACTATTTGGAAAAGTAAGGCGGGAGCATAAAGCTGTCGAGTCCTCTGTAGAATTGCTTAATTTATTCCAGTTAATTGTTGGAGGGAGTGACATCGGTCTCCTCGAAATGCACGGTCTTTTCTCTCTCCTCAGACCCCAACTGTTGGTGTTGTTGAAACTGGATGAGGATTTGCATGTGAAATACCCCAGGCTCTTGACGTTCGCATCACAGCTGAAGGCTGGAAAGGGATTGACTATTGTTGGGACTGCAATACAGGGCAACTTTCTGGAAAGTTATGGAGAAGCCCAGGCAGCTGAACAGGTGAGCCATGGCAAAGCCAAGCGTAGAGGGTCCTGTCTTCTGGTATCTTTGACCAAAATGTTTACAACATTTCCCAAAAAACAAAGCAAGGACTCTTTCCAGGAAACTCTTTGGTAGATGAACAAACTCTTTTCTAGCCAATGCTTTCAGAAAATTTTAAGCTATACTTTTCCTATCTGGTACCCTCTAGGTATCTTGATAAATTCTGTCATTTCTCTCTGTGTTTTCCCCTTGTAAGTCAGCTGGTCATTCCGTCATTCGTTTATATCATCTCTATGAAGGAGAAAAATAATAGAACCCAATAAATAAGTAGCAGGGATCAGTTTCTTGTTCTTTAGCTCAATTCTGCCCAGGTTTTCTAGCATATTAGTTTAGCTAGTTTTGAACTAAAATTAAACCAACAAAACTAAATGCAAAGAAACCATCAAAAGCAAAAAAAGACCTTGGTTAAGGTAAAACATCAGAAAAGATTTAGTGTGGAACAAAGACCTTCAAGTTTAGCCAGATACAAAATGGGCCTGATTTTAAGGCAGAACCCCCTAAAAGAAAAATCATCTGTTTCTATTATAGCATTTCAGAAATTCTAACATAATCTTCCAGTTTTACTGTTTCAATCATTTTGGGCATGAATTGAACGTGGAAAGCATTTCTGGTTGGAACTGATGCCATAATTTTACTACTGATGATAACCTTGCAGCAAGAGAAACTGAACTCTGTGGCCTTGTGTATTTCTCAAAGGTGCAGAACTTCAGAAATGAACAGTCAAAGCTACTGCAAACAGATTTATTAAACCCTAAGTTGAATATTTTAAGCTCATCTGAGAACTGCCACAGATGTAAGTTTTGTGGTATAATTTCAGGGGGCAAACCGTGACTAGCTTCTATTATTATTATGAGTACAATGCACATACATGGTTGAGTAGTCTTTATGTAATCTGCATTCAATTAAGTCTCCTCCCACCCCACCCCCCAAAGCTATTACGACCAAATAAATGGCAATAGTCTTTTATACATTATACATTTTATACAATCATTGGTTTAAAATCTTTGTACCAGTAGTCACATGGACACCAATAAGTGTATGGAAAATGCAGTTTTCTTTATCATGTAAAGGGACAGATCTTTCTGTGTTTTTAATGATCTATTGACTGGCTTCCCATAATGATGACCCTTGGTTCTCCTTGGTTATCTTCCAGACCATCAAGAATATGATTGAGATTGAGAAAGTCAAAGGATTTTGCCAAGTCGTTGTGGCTAATAAAGTCCGTGATGGCATTTCCCACTTGATACAGTCTTGTGGATTGGGTGGCATGAAGCACAACACGGTGGTTTTGGGGTGGCCCTATGGCTGGAGGCAAAGTGAAGATCCTAGAGCTTGGAAGACCTTTATAGGTAAGTTCAAAGGAAGTTGGTTAGCATCCTTCTTGTTTCTTTCCAAGCATAATTCAAGCATTGTTTCCTATGGTGAATAGAGTGTGTAAAACCATCTATTTAGGGCTGTTCTGCTGCTCAAAAGAAAGACTTAGATGCTGTTCTGAGCTTGCAAGGACCTCTGGCGAAAACTCTAATTTGGATGGACTTCATCTTACTAAAATTTCCGTCTCCTGTAAAAAGAGTTTCTGCATGTTGAATCCTTCTTCTGCCCTCTATTGTTTCTCTACTTCATGATTTCTCAGTAGTTTTCCTCCAAGGAACAAGGGGATACAGTATGATCTTGGGATATTATGGCTTGAATTCAACAAAGGGCTGTTCTCATTATCATTCAGAGTTCTTACATTAATATAGATGATAATGTGGTTTATGTGAACTTTTACAATTTCATTTTTAAAACTTTGGAAACTGCCTTTTATCAAGTCTGGTTATTATTTTGAATAACTCATATTTGTCAGCATTGATTGGCTACACTGATAGATCAGAGTTTCTTTGGGGTTCCAATCGAGGACTTTGCTTAGATCTTCCTGGTAGGGCCAAAGTCTTCTGCATGCAAAACATCTCTTTTGTCCCAGAATTATACTCTTCCTGATTAACAACATTGTCAATTTGAAATTGATGAAATGCTGTTTCGGTGACTTTAATTAAAATATTATTTGAGTTTACCTACAATAGTGTTTGTTTGTTTGTTTGGAGGCGATGCACCAAAATTCTTTAATTCTTCTCCCTACTTCCTCTTCTTAACTGTTTGTAGCCAATCCTGCTTGTCTTTCTGCATCTACCATTAGCTTGGTGGTGACCATTTCCTTCCAGTTCTGTTCTTCTTCCAGTAATCTCCACCAATCAAGAATCATATATGAGATACAATTCCAGTCCTATAGCCAATTGGACTTGACTGTCAGCCACAATGTCTTTCTTTTTTTAAAATTTCAGACACTGTCCGCTGCACAACTGCAGCCCACCTTGCCTTGCTCGTGCCAAAGAATGTGTCCTTCTATCCCAGCAATCATGAGCGTTACAATGAAGGGAACATCGATGTATGGTGGATTGTGCACGATGGAGGCATGTTGATGTTGCTTCCATTTCTCCTCAAACAGCATAAAGTAAGAATGCCAGGAGCTAGCTAGAATTGACTGGGCCTGTCCTGTGCAAACTAGCTTATTCTGAGCCATTTATAGCATCTATTGATTGATCTTGCCTGATACAGTTGAGAAAATTCACAATTTCTCCAGGGTATTCCCCCCTCCCTTATTTTTTTTTTTGACATCTCTCTATGTAAGACGATGGATATAGCAGGTTAACTGTATAGTGACCTATATCAAGTAAGGAGTTGATGGGTTCTTATATGTATTTCTTGGACTATATTCCCAGAAAGAAAAGTTCATTTTTATTGTAATTAGAGGGGTTGGTGGTTTTCTCCCCACCCCCATAAAGTGACCAACCTAGTGGTCTTACTCATCCATGTGGTCCAGCAGCCCAGATGATGGAGGCAGATACCCCATGGGCAGGAGATTGGGGGGAACTATAGGTGACCCATGACCCATGCACCTGTTCAAAGAGCCAATTCATGGAAATGTTGGTGTTTCCCAAAGTTATTTATTTATTCAATTTGTATGGCCACCATCTCAAACCAGTGACTCAGGTCATTGCAGAGATGGGCAGCATTGCAGTTCTCAAATGCTGAGAATTGTGTAGTCTTATCCTTGCTTACAGACTAATATATATATATGTGTGTATAGAAACTTACCTTTTCAGAGATACATGCCGTTTATGGGCCTGCATATATTTGCACAATTGTATGGACTTGTCAGATAACCCTTCTATAAAGGTGTGCTTTACCAGATTCATTGGAATTTGTAGAGAGGACTGAAAGTTTTGAGAAAATAAATGTTTTCCCTCCGCAGGTTTGGCGAAAATGCAAAATGCGAATTTTCACTGTGGCCCAGATGGACGACAACAGCATTCAAATGAAGAAAGACTTGGCAGTCTTCCTTTACCACCTCCGAATTGAGGCTGAAGTAGAAGTGGTGGAAATGGTAATGGAGTTCTCCTGTCCTGCAGTGGCTGGTCTATATATTCTGGGCATGGTTCCAAGATTGTCTTTTTCCTTTCTTTAGCAAAACAGCGATATTTCAGCCTACACTTACGAGCGGACCTTGATGATGGAACAGAGATCTCAAATGCTGAGGCAGATGCGGTTGACCAAAACAGAAAGAGAGAGAGAGGTATGTCTTCTATTTGCCATTGCAAAATGGTGGTGGTGACCATCAGTTTGGTACCTGGACACTAGGTGGAATCCAGATTTGGTTATGATTGAAGCAAGCATGGTAAAGTGAACGGGCTACAAGATCTCTGTAGGCAGCCAGGACAAGCCACAGTGAAGTCAAAATGATGTCCTGCATTGTGTGATTTTGTAAGTCCTTGTACGAAATTGAAAATAACAATGACTTTTGCAGGTACATAATTTGTGTGGTATGCCTCAGGCATATCGTCACGTGCCCTCCCTTCCCTTTCCCCTTTAGACATCTATGAGTTAGTAATGGCTAAGTGGCCCCATTGATTTCAATAGATCTAAATTTGGGGGATGCTGGAAAGTCTGAGACACGTGTCCAAATATTATTCGTACATCTTTTCATTAAATTGTAATGTTTCCCATTATAAACTGCTAAAGGGAATTGCCAAATATTTACGTTTAAAAGAAAGACTTTTGCTTATTCAGCTGGCCAGCCTTGGCAATTGGATCATGCACACTTGCTCTGTTGTTGCAAGGGATTTTCTAAAAATTTGCTAAAAATGTGCAATGCTTTTTCATGGTCACGGCCAGATTTGAATGATGGACGGTAAGGCAAGGCGTTCCTAATGAAATCCACATCACCCATCCCGATTTTTCATTTATTTTCCATAGTAGTTTGCATTCTTGCTCCCCCCATCCCCAATTTATATTAAAAGAAATCCCTAATCTTAGGCATTATAAAATGTAAAGAAAAGGATCTAGGAGAGAATAGAAAAAAAGCACAACAGGGTGATGGTGGTTCACTTGTTCAGATGGCTGGAAAGTTCCATTTGTTGGTTTGACTGGGCTCCAGTTTGCACTGCGTTGGTTCTGTCTGTGCTCTGCTGGCCTGTTCTCCTCTCGCTTGTTCCTCTTTTTATTCTTCTCTTCCCCTTTGGCTTGCTGTTTCTGAGATCAGGCATCATCTACAATTTCTCTTTTTACCTCAAGACAAAAGAGTTCCTCAAAAGCCCCTTTGGCAGTAGTTGGGCAAAAGAAGTTTCCTCCATACAGAGTGGATGTTTTTGCTTCGCTCTTCTGGAGAAGGGGGTTTCTCAAAATTTTAAGACTGGCCAACAGTGGTCCTTCTAAAGGCTTCCATGATCTGTAACAAACAGTGAAGGAATCAGGGCTCTTTTTCTTCTTACAATTTAAGCTGTGCTGCCCTGGTTGCACTACCAGTCAATCATGATATTTTGCTCATCCAAGATACTTCCAATTTCTGTCCCACCAGTGATTCTCCAAGCAGACAACAAGCAGCACTTCACACTGGAATAGCAGAGCATTGTCCTTTGGAGATTAACCATTTTCCACCATTTGTTCTTCTAGGCTCAGCTGGTGAAAGACAGACATTCGATCATAAGGTTAGAGAGCCTTTATTCTGATGAGGAAGATGAAGGGGAAGCAGTGCCAGAAAAGATCCAGATGACTTGGACAAAGGATAAATATGACTCTGAGAATCAAGTCGGTAATAGTGCGGTGGAGAACTTCAAGGAACTTATCAGTCTTAAACCGTAAGTGTCCAAGATCTTTGCTGGAATGAAAACTTTGACCTTTTTACATTGATGCAAGTCCATCACATTTGTAGTGTTGCAGAAAATCTTGCTTGGGTTGGCTCTCTGTTCATTCTGGTGCTTTTATTTTTGCTTGACGTTATCTACAGTATTACCATTATTTTCTCCTGAACAAAAAAAGTCCAGCTGGAAGTAGCCACTGCTGCTGCCAAGAACAAAAGACAATAATTAGGGAGTGATGCATGCTGTCCTCCACTGATTAAATAGTAGGGAGTTTCCAAAAGATAGGGTGTTGCATTGTCTAATTAAGTACCACCATCCCCTTGATAAATGGAAACAGGAAATGTTTTTGTTGACAAGAGACTTGATGAGGAAGCAACTCCAAGTGAAAATTATCTCCATCCTCAGACAAGTCTTAAAGTTCCTGGTAGTAACAGAGCCACAAGCCAAGTCTTGAGTCCTTTCTTTTGGTCTACCTTGTATGCTTTGTCTTGCAAACAGAAAGCTGAGGTACCCCAAAGTAGGTAGTGTGGAGTTTCTTTAAGCTTGTTAGGATGAGTCTTTTTTCCTTGGACTTGATCCTTCATTCAGAAACCTACTAGATCTACTGTCTATCTACATCTACACTTTTATTCCGGCATCCAGAACTCTAGCTTACTGGGGAGGTTAATGCATTTATTTATCCAAACACGTACCTGCATGCTCCAGAAAAGCGAGCAGGGTGTCAGAACTTGCATCAACCAACAATTGTTAATTTACAAAGCATAGCAGTCAATGGGAGTTTGACT